GTGTCCCACAACTTCCTTGCAGTTCTTTGCAAGTCCTCTTAATGTTTCCTTTGTTTTGCTCTCTATATTTCTGTGTCTTAACTTGGCTTGCCAATGGAGTTCAGCATTCTAGGAGGAAACACTTGGTGCTTCAATATACTGTACTTAAAGCATAACATTCTGAACACTCTCTTGGTACATCAGTTTCACAGAGCTGTTATATGGAGGAGGGGCAAAACTGACTTCATTCAGATTCTAATAAAGGGAGCAGCCTGGTCAGTGATCCTCTAAATCAGGAGTCAGCAACCTTTTTCAGCCGTGGGCCTGTCCATTGTCCCTCAGACCATGTGGTGGGCTGGACTATATATTTTTTTTGGGGGGGGTGAACAAATTTCTATGCCCCACAAATAACCCAGAGATGCATTTTAAATAAAAACACACATTCTACTCATGTAAAAACACCAGGCAGGCCCCACAAATAACCCAGAGATGCATTTTAAATGAAAGGACACATTCTACTCATGTAAAAACACCAGGCAGGCCCCACAAATAACCCAGAGATGCATTTTAAATGAAAGGACACATTCTACTCATGTAAAAACATGCTGATTCCCGAACTGTCTGCAGGCTGGATTGAGAAGGCGATTGGGCCGCAGGCTGCCTACCCCTGCTCTAAATAGAATCAGAACAGTCTGTTAGCTCTCTCCCTCTGTTCAAAGGACTACATAATTCGTTTGATCTCAGTTTAAGTATCAGAGTGTTCTATCTGATTCAGGTTTGTTACTAAAGCTTTGCATCAATAATCAGGATGCTGCTATTTTAACAACCACTTTTCCAGGAGGGGAAAAAATCCATTCGTTTGTGTTCACATCTACATAACAGAGAGTAACATGTGGCAGGAACAAATAGGGGAAAGAACAGAAGGGGCAACATTCATCTGTTTTGCTCTCCAGCAGAGGAGAACTATTAGTATTTCAAACTGCAGGCCATTAGAAGACTATTGTCTACACTACAGTCTTGCTTTAAGAAATTGCATGTGTTTGAGAATCTCACAATGGCAAAGCAAATACTGTTTTCTAACTGTTTTCAAAAAACTACATGAATTTGATTGCAAACAAGAGGGGTGTTTAAAGCTGACCACAGATATCAGCCCCACCAACACACATGCATGATAATCCTTTTACTGTATGGGTTTCCACTAGTGGAACTAGGTAGTTGAAGGCCCTCCTATCAGATGTCAAGGAAATAAACTATGTGACTTTTAGGAGACATCTAAAAGGCAACCCTGTATAGAAAAGTTTTTAATGTTCGATGTTTTATTGTGTTTACGTATGTGCTAGAAGCCGTCCAGAGTGGCTGGGGCAACCAAGTCAGATCGGTGGGGTACAAATAATAAAATAATAGCAATAACAATCAGTATCTGAAGGGCCAGAGGTTCTACATCTCCATCCTAGGTTTTAATTAGTTCTCATGGGCTTCACATATTTGGTACAATATCCAGCATGACTCTTAGTTTCATATAAATACAACTCAGGTTTTTTACATGAACCAACAATGCATGATATGAAGGTATTTGTGATTTTCCCTAACGTCATGCTATTTTTGTAGAATACAAGGGAAATTTCACAAAAATGCTTGAATATGTATGTTTGCTCTCTTAGCCCAAATTAAGCTCCTGGGTTGTGCTGGTTCAGTTCAACTGAAGCTGTTCAGCTGCTTTATTCAAATTCCAAACTACAAAACCAGCAGAGTTAAGTTCACAACTAATTTGGTCGTGTAACTTCTAACAGAGTCTCATGATCTGATCCACATTCTGCTGCTGGCTTTGTCTAATCTACTTTTGATGCAGGAGATTGCCTCTAACAAAAATCAATTTTTACTTACAGAATACTGCCAATACAACTGTGTTTTAAAATGAGTTTTAGAGATGTATTTGGTAGTAACAAGTTCATATTCTTTTCCCTTCATCTTAACTTGCCTTTCAACTCCCAGCGTAAGCATCAACATTCTTATGACGAGTGCAATTTCTAATTGAGCTCTTGCGTGAGCTTTCATCTTGTTAGCTGGAAAAGTTCAATACTTGTGCAATATATTATCAAATCATTTCCTCAATAGTTCCAGGAATGAAAAAAATTCAGGAACGATAGGGATTTGCTTGGTTTATTAAAGTATCTGTGGCTGTTTTTCCGCAGAAACTTTTTACGGGAAACTTGTGAAACTAAGTACAAGAATTCCAAAGCTGTCAAACAAATAAACAAACACACACACACACACACATCCTCACAAAAATACCTCATTTTGTATGCTCATAATCCATTTCCCAGGCTTTCATTTTTAAAAGAGGTATTTGCTTTTTCAACAGAACCCATGAAAGAGACAATAAACTAAGTTCAAATTCATGTTGATCATCTGAAGAGGCCCTCCTAGTGGTACCATGTGCTGCTAAAATCAGTCTTGCAGCTCACACAGAGTAAGATCTTTAATGTTGTGGTATCTGCCATGTGGAACACTCTCCCCTTAGAAATGAGGCATGCACTGACCACTTTATGTTTTCAGCGTATGCTAGAAATTGTTTGTTTCCCCCAAGCATTTCCAAAGTAGTAATATTGATCATATATGTCACTGATCTCTGTGAAGGTGCACAATTGTATTTTATGCTGTTTCTATATTGTGTTATTATGGGTTGTTAGCATTTTATTCTTTTATACACTGCTTGATTGTAGAAAAACCTTGGAGCTGTGTATTAGTAATAGTAGTTTATTACTTTGTTTTTTGCTGTACTGGACTCCTTTGGTAGGAAGGGCAGGATAGACATTTCAAAAATTTGGCTACCGAAAAAACCCTCAGACTCAACGTATCACTTATCAAAGCTTGACCTATTTTGAGTTTCACAGGCAGAAGCTCCCATGCTTCCCAAATCTAGAGCCATGTTTTAACTACATTGTGGTGGTCCCCAATCCAGTCTCATGAACTGCTGGGATTCTGAACTGTAAGATGTGTCATTAGTTTTAGAGGTCCTCCAAAGGTTTGTTTTATTAAAAGACACCCCCCCCCCCCCGTTTCCTTTTTTTATAGCTGCCTGGCAAGCTCAGTCTTGATTATCTCTTCCAGGGCTTTGCCATGAATGCAATTACGCTAACAGCTGTTCAATATTTGATGAGTAGCATCCGAAGTTAGCCACAAGGGTCAAAACGGTGTGGTGCTGGGAAGATGGTGTTCAGCTGCAAATGTTACTTACTCTCTCCCCCTTAGTTTAAATTACGTTAAATGAAATATTCAACAGCAGCTTTGAAAGATCATCCCCCCGAGATTTCAAATTTCACATGGAACCTGGAGGAAGAGAAAAAATTCAGCAATTGATTTATATTTCTGCTGTCCACTTCTTGCTCTGATACTCTTGTTCTTCTTATCACTTCAGTGAATCACGCCGTGCTGGTAAGAAACAGACTCCAATTAATTGCTTCCTAAGCAGCAGAAGTCATGCGACTTTGCTGCCTTCAGTGTTTCATGCAGATGGTGTACAATGCTCTGCTTCTATAAATTAATTTCGCAGAGGGCAGCCGGAACATAAAACCACCATACTTTTGTGGTCCTTTGAAGGCCACGAAACCAGAAGGGAGATTTGAGTTATTTTTCAGGAGATGCAAAAAAGTTTCAGGGATACTTATTTTGTCTGCCACTGTTGACAAAGTAAGTGTCCCTGAAACTTTTTGTACCTCCTGAAAAGTAGCTCAGATGTTGCTTTTAAATCATTCTCCCCTTAACTTGGTTTAGCTAAGATAAACCAAACCCTTCACACAACACACAAACATCCCACTTTGCAATATTTATTCCTGTCCGACCCCACCCATGAGCATTTCCCTGTCCCCTTTTGGTCCCCTGAAAATGAGAAGTGAAATCTGGCATGATTCCAGATACCACTATGTGTACATCCCCTTTAACTCATTCAATGTGAGAGTGCCATGAGCACTGCTGGGGTGGAGGGGATGTACTAACACTGGCCATGAGGAGGAAACAGTCGGCAGGAGGCCTCACCAGCAATAAATCAGGTCAGGCTGGAGGGCACACTGCCCCTCTCAAAGTGCAGAGATAAAGCAGAAATGGCGAGGCCATTATGAAAACGATGTACCAGTGGTATTTGACTCCTAGTAAGTTAGCAAAAATGTATAAGACAAATACAAATATCTGCTGGAAATGTAAAGAAAAAGAAGGTACCTTTTATCATATGTGGTGGACGTGTAAGTTTATAAAAGCACTTTGGGAAATGATATATAATGAATTGGGGGGAAATGATTAAAATAACTTTTGTAAAAAAACCAACAACCAGAAGCTTTCTTCTTAGGAATTGTAGGTACCGACATTCCAAAGGAACACAAAATACTTTCTATGTATGCTACAATAGCCGTGCAGATGTTACTAGCCCAGAAATGGGAAGAAGTCCCTACCAGATAGGAATGGCAAATCGAGCTGTTGGACTATGCCAAAATGGCAAAACTGACTGGAAGGCTCAGGAACCAAGAAGACCAAAACTTCAATAAAGAATGGGCGGAAATTATAATTTATCTAGGAGACCACTGTAAACAGATGAAAACACTAGCAGGATTTTAATAACACTTGTAATGTAGTGAAAATCATGGACAAGATGGAAAGATACAAAATATGGATTGTGGGGGAAAATATGCAGCTAAGAGGGTGGGGGAAGGGAGGGGAAGGTGGGAAATCCAGAGATCTGGAGAAATCTCTAAATATGGATATGTAATTTGGATTGTAATAAACTACTATTTGTAAAACCAAATAAAAATTATTATATATAAAAAGAGAAATGGTGGGGGCATGGCATGGGCTTCATGAGGAATCAGAAAGAGAAAAGCTGGGAGATGCAGGAGAGTAGAAGGAAGGAGAACACAGAAACATAGGAAGCTGCCCTATATCTAGTCATACCATTGATCCATCCAGCTCAGTATGGTCTACACTGATTGGCAGCAGCTCTCCAGCCATTTCAGGCATTAGTCTCTCTCAGACTTATCTGGAGATGCCGGGGATTGAACCTGGAACCTTCTGCTTGCAAGGCAGATGCTCTACCACTGAACTAGAAGGATGGGAATTGTTGGGAAGCATTCCATCCCACTTGCTGTTAGGGACTGGGCAGAGGAGGAGGAGGAATGGTGAAGGCCACCTCCCCATCCTGACCCTTCTAGGGAGGAGGAAGAGGAAGACAGCGTAGATTTACAACAGGGGTTTGTGGGAGGTCACAGCTCAGAGGCAGATGAGGTGGGAAGTTGGGAAATAATGGGAGAACCAGAGGAGCAGCTGGCTGACATGTTGTGATTAGAAAGTATTCCAGACCCACCATCTCCCAGAACCTGATGAGCCTTAAAAGTAGGAGAGCAAAGAGCTCGAAGACAGAGGTGGTGATGATGACGACAAATGAGAAAGTGGGAGAGACGAGGGGGTGGGGGAGATTCACTCGTGACCAAGCCATTATCCAAGAGGCTGGGTTCTATAGCCTATCTCTGTAATGTTTGAAATAAAATAGGACTGTAGGAAACTTTCCCTTGTCTGTATACTGTCCTGGGCAACCAGCCGGGAGCTGCTGGCAGCAATCTGACACTTGTAAGGCGAGCAGTTTAGGAGCACAGAGATAATCAGGTTGTGCCCTCTAAAGCAGCGTCTCAAGGAAGGTCACAGAAGAAATGGGGTTTGGAAGGGGAGACCTCACACTTTGAGCAGATAAGGAGGGAACAAGAAAGGGAGATGTTAGAGGCAGCATCTGGGACAAAAATCCCTAGTGGTGAACTTAAAAGAGGAGATTGGTGAAACAGAAGGAAAATAGGGCTGGGATAAAGAACAAGCGTTGTGAAGGACTCGAGTGATGAAAAGGGAGTGAGAGCTCATAACAACAACCCAATCTAATACAGTGGTGCCCCGCAAGACGAATGCCTCGCAAGACGAAAAACTCGCTAGACGAAAGAGTTTTCTGTTTTTTGAGTCATTCCGCAAGACGAATTTCCCTATGGGCTTGCTTCGCAAAACGAAACGTCTTGCGAGTTTGTTTCCTTTTTCTTAAAGCCGCTAAGCCGCTAATAGCCGCTAAGCCGTTAATAGCCGCTAAGCCGCTAATAGCCGTGCTTCGCAAGACGAAAAAACCGCAAGACGAAGAGACTCGCGGAACGGATTAATTTCGTCTTGCGAGGCACCACTGTATATCCTGGAGGAGGAATGTATTGTTGCTCAGATGATCTTCCATGTATGGACAAAGTAAACATAGCATCGAAGATGTGGATAGCCAGCATGGTCCCTCTTCCCCTTCATATACACAGTGAACATGGGGGGCAGTTTACTTGAGTGGCCCAGTTCCAAAACACCTACTTGCTATAGCCTTGCAGGTTCCATTCAAGTGAATGTATCTGGCTATGCTTTTGCAGCAGAAACGTTGTATTTCTCTTCAGATTAGCTCACATGCACAGTTTTTTAGAGAAGGCCACTGCCAATTTATTTCACAGCAACCGTAAGGACAATTTGGGATCTTCCATTTCAAACAAGAGCTTTGATTGCTTCGCTTACCAATTTTACCTCCTTTCAGAAACAGCTGCAGAGGTGAATCAACCTGCTCTTCAATGCATATAATAACTACATATTTCAGTCCTAATTATTCAGAGAGAGAAAACAGAACCATACCATGTTACTTTCAGCAAGGAATGGCATAATCAATCAATGGCTGATTGACAGTGCTTTTGGTTAAATTAGAATTGCACCTACAATACAAATGATTCTGGCTCATTTTGCCTGTAAATTACTGCATGCATTTATTCTCTCTGTCTCTTTGTGTTCCTGCAAGTGTTCCATTGAAATGAAGGTCATGTTTGGCCAAAACAAGAGCTTTTATGTGCCACTGGAAAAAGTTCTAGTTTTGTTTTGTTTTTTAAGTACCTAAATTACCTGTAAGGATAGAACCACACATATTATTTTTCCTTGGGGAAAGTGGCTTGGGGTGGGATAGGATGGGAAGTTTTGGGAGTAGTATTTATTTATTTATTTATTGAGTTCCTCAAGATGAATAACATCATTGTTTAAATTTTACAAATAACAATGGTAAAATACAAAGCCAACACTCAAACACAGAAAGTCAGTTTTAGGGGAATCCATATTGTGCAGCTGAGCATATTCATATTTAGGTAATTGAGATGTAATGTAACTCAGGAGGTCCATATATCTTTTTGGAGGGCGGGTAGGGAGTCCTGTAAGTCATTGGCTGAAACATAAAGTATGAAGTCCATCCAGATTGCATAAAAATGTTCCACTGGTTCTTTACCTTTCATGACTCGGAGGTTGTGAGTCATTATTTATTTATATTTTTTGGGTGATTGCTATGTTACAAACCTGTTAATACCATAATTCGATAGATAGGTCATGCAGGTTCTTCCATTTATGTGGTATAGATTATCTGGCAGCTACCAAGAAGGATGTTTTTTAAGGAAAGGGCTCTTAGCAGTATGCTGTAATAGTTTTTTCCCCTTTCTATTTGCATTTTAGTAGATTTCCTCCCCACATTGCCTTAATTCCATAGATCGCTTAGTTGATTTTTAACAATAACCTTTAGGGGTGTTTTATCTATCTCTATTTGTTTTTAATTTTTGTGAGCCACCTTGAGTCCCAAGTCGGGGGGAAAAGCAAGATATAAATAAATAAAAGAGTAGCACTTCCCCACCTTTCTCCTCTCTGGAGTATTTGACCTTTGACCCTGCCTCCTGGCCCAAGAGGAGGAGGAGGAGGATTGATTACATTTGTATACTGCCCTATACAGTGGTACCTCAGGTTACATACGCTTCAGGTTAGATACGCTTCAGGTTACAGACTCCGCTAACCTAGAAATAGTACCTTGGGTTAAGAACTTTGCTTCAGGATGCGAACAGAAATTGTGCTCTGGCAGCGCGGCAGCAGCAGGAGGCCCCATTAGCTAAAGTGGTGCTTCAGGTTAAGAACAGTTTCAGGTTAAGAACGGACCTCCGGAACAAATTAAGTACTTAACCCGAGGTACTACTGTACCCATAGATCTCAGGGCAGTTCACAACATAAAATCACAATTTAAAAAAGAGAGAACTATTGACCCTTTGCTACCTGGCCTCCAGCAGGGGTGGTGAAATATACTCAGAGTCAAGAGTGGATTTCATGCTCTTTATTCAGCTCATAGTGGTGAGGAGAACTGGAAGTCCCCTCAAAGTATCTGCTTTATATACATTATTTACACAATGGGCTGCACGTGATTGGCTAATTCTGGAATTCTCTTTTTTTTAAAAATGATATTTATTACTTTTTCAAAATTTCCAACACAGCACTACAAACACAGAGAAAAAGAAAAAAGAAAGAAAAAACAATACAAATAACAAATCAAGCAAAAACAAACAAAAACAATTTAAAAACACCTCAAAACATTTTCAATGTCTTATATTTCATTCACTTATTTCCAGCGACTTCCTCACACCTCCCTTTTTGTATTCTACTTCTATTATTTGTTTCAGCAATTCCTTTCCATCTTACTCTGTTTTCTGTTCTATAATTATCTTAACATATTCTTGCCATACTTTTCCTTTAATTTTCTATTAATCTATTTATACTTAATTCCTTATGACATTTCTACTAAAGCCATGTAATTTCATTCCAACATTTTTCTAACATTCCTTAATTTTACAATATTTCTATAAATAGTCTTTAAACTTTTTCCAATCTTCTTCCACCGACTCTTCACCCTGGTCTCAGATCTTGCCAGTCATTTCCGCTAATTCCCTATAGTCCATCAACTTCGTCTGCCATTGTCCAACACTTTGGTGTTTTCAAGAAGCAACCATTCTCTCAACCAGCAAAAGGCAGATGGTTCACAACGAAGTTTAAAGGTCTGGCAGGGCAGGTCCACCTCCTTCTTTAGCATCCATCAATATCTTAAGCTTAACTCGAGGCTTCCTGCCCTGCCAAACAACTCTAGGAGCATCCCTCTGCCACCTCCCGAGACCCTCCATCCCATCCAGAGCTTGCAATGTTTGAAACAACAGCAACATCCCCAGCAACACAGCAGCCCCCATCCCCACCACAACGACTCAGCCCAACAGTAACAACTTCTAATTTGTCCATATTTCCAAATTCCCCTTCTCTTCAATCCAACATCCTTCACAGTTGTCCTTAAGCAGATTCACATTTTTAGCGGTCATACTAACCCCCAAATACCTCTCTTTCTCAACCAATGTTAGTCCTGTCACCTCCTGAAGCTCTGTCAGGCTTTCCTTCTTCAACTCAGACGGGGCTCTGGTCCCCAAATTCATCTGCTCTTCTCTAAGTTCAATCATAACGAATGTCAGCTTATGTTCATCAAGTTGTCTTTGTATGGATGGGACTCTCCTCTCCAGTTGTACCACCTTAAGTTCAGCAGCAAGGGTTTTTTCCCTGACTTCATCTGCAGTTTGCCGTATCAGAGTAGATTCCTGTATCAGTTTCTGGGTGGTTTCTGAATTGGTATTCTCCTTTTGTCCCAACTTATTTAAACCTTCTACAATTAAATCAGTCTCAATATTTGCAACATCCAATTTCACATTCCTCACATCTGTTTTCTTATGGAGTTGTTCCAGCGAATCATTTATTTTCAATAATGCAGCCACTAAGGCTTCCTCTGTCGACATCCCGTCTGTTTTTTCCCTTCCGTTTGCCATAACACTTTAGAAATTCAAGGTCAATTCCAAAGTCTCACACTTTTCTTATCTTGCAGCTGGAAATTCCCCTAGCCCAGCTCCTATAAAGTAACCAATTTCAAAAGCTTCCACTAGGGGAAAACAAGTTGTATTTGTCAATATGTCCTCTTTTAAACACAATAATCCGAAGTTAGTTTCAATTTTCAGTTACTTTCCTCCTTTTTTAAAAACAGCCGGAAACAGTAGAAACAATGTATTTCTCTTATTTAGCTAGCTGTCAATGAACGTTCTAAGCGCTGTCAATGAACATTAAAAAAAAAAAGGGGGGGGGAAACATCAGTCTTACTAGCAGCCCGTTTCCAGGGTCAGAGCGGCGGTGTTTTAAGCCTCTTTGCTCTCTCCCGCAGGCATACTCAATCCACAACTTCCCCCTCTCTTCTCCTGCCTCCAAGAGGGGGGTTTAATGTTCTTTACCGTTGGAAATTTGATCTTTTACAAAAGACCTTCCAGGACTCCAGCTTGCAACTTCATTGCCTCAGTCTATTTACAAAAAGGGAAGGCGGACTTCCTGTTTTGAACCTCTCCGTTACGATACCAAATTAAACTTTTAGAGATCCAATTCTTCCGTTTCAGCTCTACTCACGGGTAATTACTTTAAAGTCAAATTGTCCACAGGAAAAGGTCAGCGCTCTCCGGCAACAGCTATGCGGCTTCGCTCCGTGGAAGAAGCAGACGATTCGATGCACCGCGCCGCTCACCCCACGTCACTCCGGAGCCCCAAAAACCGGGGTTCCCCGTGAGTGGGGGAGGCGCAAAAGGTGCCCGCCGAATCCCACGTTCACAGGGGATTCTTGAATTCTGGAATTCTCTTGTAGGCCAATCAGGTTGTGGATTCACTTCCATCTGGAGCTGGATTGGGTGGCTCCTGCAGACCAATCATACTGCTGCATTGTTCTAGGACCAATCAGACTGCTGCATTCTGAATCCTATTGTTCTAGGACCAATCAGACTGCTGCATTTTGGAGCCTATTGTTCTAGGACCAATCAGACTGCTGCATTTTGGAGCCTATTATTCTAGGACCAATCAGACTGCTGCATTTTGGATCCTATTCAACTCAGTAGATAACAGATGGATTAAAGAAAGGACCTCATGGTAAAACCAGCTTTCAAGTTGTAAATATTGCATGCTATGTGCACAATGGTGGTTGCTGGCTTGGGACAGAACAGGTAACCTGCCAAACATGCTCTGTACCATCAGCTCTGCCACTGCCCATCACCTGTTTGGGTTGTGCATAGGAAAGCTGAATAGCACCTCCCTCGCAATCAACTAATGGTTAGCACTGGCAAAGCTGACAGCGTTGGCCATCTGTTCGCCAGGAAATTCTTCATGTGCTCTGCCCAAAGAGGAGGGCCTCCCTCTTCCAGGGAACGGAATTCAGCTTCCATATCATATTAACATGGCCTCTATACTTCACGATCAGAACATCTCAGGTTCTGGCATTTACAGAACACTGAGAAATTAAATGGCCAAAGAATGACTACATCTTTGTCAGTGTTACATTATTCATTATAGAAATGTTGTCGGTGTTAATTGACATCTACGAGGCAAACAGTTTGTTGCCTCTGGGCAGTAATGAGAAACATGTGCTGCCTTTGAGTCATCCCCAATCTTTACACCAAGCAAATGTAATCTTGGCAACAATGGTGCATTTTCTTCCTCTCTTTTTTAATCAGCAGCTTCAGCGGGGATGATTTAGCTAAAACAAAGGTTTTTCCTCAGTATAATATATCCAGTTGTAGAAGGTACCACATTAGGTTATAGTTATAAACCTCAGTAGATCCAGAGCAAATTAATTGCACCTAGGGGTGTTGAAATCTAAAAATAAAAGCCAAGTATAGCTATTTAATTCTCTCTCATCTATTGAGCAAATCAACTAAATATGACACAGATGGTGATTCATTAGCAGCCAAAACAATTCCCCCACTCCAACTGCATCTTTAATTATTTTACTAATGGAGAAAGCCATTTTTCTCTTAGTGCCTTATGTATGGGGCATTTCTAAACATAAATGAGTTAGATCTTTTGTTGCATTCCATTTAAAACCAAATTGGGGTGTGAAGACATGGGGCATGCATCCTTCTGTCTCCAATTTTCCCTTCCAGGGATAGTTCTGAGCAACTGGTTGCCCAGTGGCTTTAGAGACATATGGATACCATCAACCATGGAAGGAGATTGCTGCTGACTCAGGAATGGTTCACACCTGCATAATGATCATTGGATAATCACTTCGCCATTAAGTGAGGACTTAAATCAGTGAATGAGACGTTATAGTTCTAATGGCACTGGCAGGAATGTAAAATAACCTTACGTCAGCTCAAATGCAATACTTTTCAATGGAACAGTTCACATATTTAGATGGCAAGTGTTGCATCACCAGTGGTGAAAATCCAGTGGTGCACATGAATATGAGATATAATAATAATAATAATAATAATAATAATGTTAGTACTTATACCCTGCCCATCTGGTCGGGCCTCCCCAGCCACTCTGGGCAGCTTCCAATAGGATATTAAAAACACAATAAAACATCAAATATTAAAAACTTCCCTAAACAGGGCTGCCTTCAGATGTCTTCTAAAAGTCAGATAGTTGTTTATTTCCTTGACATCTGGTGGGAGGGCATTCCACAGGGCAGGCGCCACTACCGAGAAGGTCCTCTGCCTGCTATCTAGACCTCAGATACAGGACCAAACTGCATAGCTGTTGTGGCTTCTAAAAACTTTGAAATTATCATCATGTGGAACTTGTTTAAGTTGCTCGTTTGCATTTCTTTTATACCAAGCATCACTTCTTATTGGAGAGCATCATCTGGAGAATTACCCTGGGAGTGTATTGAACTCATTTTTGCTTGAGTTTCATTTTTGGGAGCTTTGCTTTCATAGTCATGAAAATCAGGTGGGTACGATAGATTGACAAGCACTATGAACATAAGCAGAAAGTCACAGCTGGATGCTGCTTTTGATATTTTCCCTTTCTGCTCATTACAGCACCTCACAGCCATTCTGTCCATATCACTCACCAGTAATCCATCCTGGAACACTCCGTTAAAAGGAAATAAGCAACTATTCCCAAGAGGAATAAAAATTTATATGAATGTCACTCAAACATATCAGTTTACATTTCTATGGTCACACAGTCCATTGAAAAATACAGGACTCGTCAGAGATATAAATCACCTGATCAAGCTTACTGCCTTGCTTGGAATAATCATAGGTTTCTACCTGAAGGACGAAAGTAATGAGATGTAATTTCTTTACATACTCATATTTTGTGATCCATGTTACTTAATTCTCAGAGTAGGCAATTAATATTACGAACATTTTAAAAAATGATGCTTCTTTCGCTTCAGTCCAATATTTTATCAACTGGACTCCAATGTCATTTGTTTTGACTTTAGTCTACAGCACTAGGTGTTCTCTTCTTTTTCTAAGAATGTCATTGCTAGATTGATGCAGATTCTCAGCTACTGAATTTAACATGGCAGATAAGACATTGTGAGCTGGAATCTTACGTTTATGCCAGTTAATAACAGCTAATAACTGAAGAAGTGATGATGAAGCATTCGCTGCTATTTATTTTTCTTTCTTTTTTTTTACATCCATCTCCATGTTTCTGAATTATTTGTAAGAGATTTGTAGTATTCCTAGGATACGCAAGGAAAAACAAGAAATACAATGCCATCAGTGTACATTTTATTTCCTGACTGCATGTGACTTCTGATTTCATTGAGGTTTCAACTTTAACAATAGAATTTTCACAAATCTCACTGGTTCTTTAGCGCCGGTTGTTAATCTGAGTTCATACACAAACCCCAGTGGATAACCCTGAACCAGAACTAAGAAGGCAGATAAGACTTGTGACTGTCAATACACACTAGTAAAATGTGCAGTGTACTCCTAGGTGTGGATGAGCCCTCAAGATATTAACTGAACAAATTAAACAGCCATCTGTGCCACATGATGAGGTTCATCTCCTCCAGACAGGCAAGATTTTCTCTTCCTTATCACTGGAGGTTTTTAAGCAGAAGTTGGATGGCCATCTGTCATAGATGCTATAGTTGAGATTCCTGCATTGCAGGGGGTTAGACTAGATGACCCTCGGGGTATATTCTAACTCTTCTAACAATTCTGTGATTCTATGATCATGAATCGAGGTACCAATGTTTCACTTTAGCTGTCACTTCATCTTACATGGACTTATCCAATGCTGTCATCTATTTTGGTTCATCATGGCTACACTGAATTCAATGGTTACTGGGCGCTAGCATGACCACATTAACTCTCCTTACTTACCTCATTTGGTAATTGTATTGTATATTATTGTATAACTGATCACCAAAGACATCACCTTGCCAACAAAGGTCTGTATAGTAAAAGCTATGGTTTTCCCAGTAGTGACAGCTGGACCATAAAGAAGGCTGATCACCGAAGAATTGATGCTTTTGAATTATGGTGCTGGAGGAGACTCTTGAGAGTCCCATGGACTGCAAGAAGATCAAACCTATCCATTCTGAAGGAAATCAGCCCTGAGTGCTCACTGGAAGGACAGATCGTGAAGCTGAGGCTCCAATACTTTGGCCACCTCATGAGAAGAGAAGACTCCCTGGAAAAGACCCTGATGTTGGGAAAGATGGGGGGCACAAGGAGAAGGGGACAACAGAGGACGAGATGGTTGGACAGTGTTCTCAAAGCTACCAGCATGAGTTTGACCAAACTGCGGGAGGCAGTGGAAGACAGGAGTGCCTGGCGTGCTCTGGTCCATGAGGGCACGAAGAGTCGGACACGACTAAACGACTAAACAACAACAAAGCTCAGTATTGTCTACACCAAATACTTGCCTTTAGCCCATATATAGAGTTGTAGACTCAGATTTTCTAGGGATTAAAAAAAGCTCCTCCTGGAGAGGCCAGGGATCTTTTGCATGCAAAGCATGTGCTCTGCCACTGAGCTACAGGTTGTTCAAATAATTGAGGGTCAATAGGCAGGAGGCTAAATCCCAGCAAGACAGAGCCCTAGTGGGTGGGTGGATGGATTCTAGATCCAGGAATCAGGTAGATGACTTGTTCTGGATGGGATCGCAGAGTCGAACACGACTTAACGACTAAACAACAACAACACATCAATTGCTCCACCTATTTTTGCCTCTGTCCCCACCCAGTTTTAACTCTGACCCTACTTAACCACTGACACGTGTCTCCTGGAACATTGCTTATGAGAAAAAGTTCTGCTCCTTATTCTGAACTATTGTAGCAGGACCACATGGGTCTTCCCTTGCATCTATGTTGTGTTGGGCAGTCACTAATGATGGCACTCTGCTGAACTCACAAGCATAAGGAAGGATAATATCTAATAAATATATCCTCTCCTAGCATCTATTCACATCCATTTGTGAATGGATGGGAATGAGCAGCTAACACTATTCCAAAATCTGAGCCAGGGCAGGTTGCAGTCAGCCTTGATGGCGTCTTATTTCCTTAGAGTAGATTGATACATTATTCCATACAGAAATCATGATGAGAGCATTTTAGATTAAAATCCAGTATTTCTTCTGATTCTCATACAGTTGAGTATAGGCCCATTAACTCTCTCTCTTCCTTCTAGGACAGGGGAGCAATTTAAAACAAGAAAGCAATCAGTACATCAGTTAAATTAAATTGCGGAGGGGAAAATTACATGTTCTAATTAAGATATACAATTGTGGAAGAATATAATTGAATGGATGTGCTAATAAATTAGTTTTTATATACCCAAGTTACCTGAACAACTAAACCATTCATTTAACTTGTCACTCCAGTCAAAGCAAAATGCAGGTTGGTTAGGATGGTCTTGAATGGTTAATTTGGATACATACAGAAGTATTATAGTAGTGGGAAACAAATTATACAGCTGCCACATAAAAAAGGAACTTGATGGAGAAAACATCAGCAGTCTCCTTACCTTACACCCCAGCAATCCTTTCCTCTGAAGTCAAGACAATATGCAGACCAATTGGATCTCTGGGTTCTAGAGAGAATTGCTATGATGAAAAATTCAATCCATGCTTCTTCTTTCCAACAAGATCTCTGCAAACCAGGCCTACACTATGTGGGATCCAGCAGCCGTATATTGTGAGATGAGTACTCAGCCTATTAAGTCTATGACAGTCTTTGGCACCTTTGGCACGCACCAGATATTTTAGACTATAACTCCCATCAGCCCCATCCAGCAAAACATCTGGAGGGCACCAGGTTGGCAAAGGCTGGTGCATGAAGTGGACCTGCGTATCACCTTTTCTGCCATGTAGTATCAAGTTTATTACCAAGGTGATCACCTGTAAGGCGAACTACGCTTCCAGGCCATGTCCAGATAATAGAGTGGCAAATACAACACAAAGCCAAGCCAGCTCTGCTTGAAGGAATAAAGGATTGTTACAAAAGTGCTATGTCCAGGCAAATTACAGCTTTATAAATGTCGGTGGTTCAGTTGTGCATGTAAGAGCTGATGGAGCGGGGCAAACAAGAGAGCTATACATGTATGCTTTATGCATTATTTAGAATATTAAAGCTGATCTGAGCAGCAGAGGTATCAAGGGGATGGTCTAATAGTAATGCAAGCTAGTAAAGGACATTTTCAAAGGCTTTACAAATATTAACCGATCTATGAATAGTCAATTACTTACTTAGACAATCAGTCGGTGCAAAAGGTTGGCAATAAAGATGTTACATGGAAGAAGGAAAGTCAAACAGAAGGTAGCTGCTACTTAATTGAATATATTAGAAGTGCAATACTGGGAATTTTAAACACTGAAAATGACAGTTGTTTATAAAAGGAATGACACTTGAATGCTGTATTGCCTAAGCTAGCATGGAAATTCAAGCACTATATCTGGGGGAAAGACCTTGTTATGGACATGCTGATGGAGGAGAGGCAACAATAGGGAAGAATTGGGAACAATGTGAATCGGGAGCACTCTCCATATGATGGGAGCTGCTTCTGCCCGTTCATTGAGTAGCCACATTTTAATGATCAAATCCAGGTTTAATAAGCCAGGACATGCATGAGTGGTGTGGAACCACATGCAGTTCCTTTGCTGCTGCTTCACTCCTCCCTTTGCATGGGTGGCAAAAACAAAACCAGGAAGCTGTTAATTGAAGTTGGCGCTAGCTTCACTGTTAAGGGCAAACTGGGGTCTGCCTGCTCAGAAGACATGGCCTTGCCCACATAGAATGGGATCTTGAGACCCATAAAGAGACATATATATTTGGTGTTTGGTGCTCAAGGGGCAGACAGGGGCACTCCTTCCCCCTCTTCCACTAAGGCAAAATTATTTGGGTGCACACCCTAATGTGGAGAAATGAAGAGAAGACTGAGAAGTGATATGACAGCCACCTTCAAATCTCTAAAGGGCTGTCATGTGGAATAGGGAAAAAGCTTGTTTTCTACCGCTCCAGAGGGGTTGCAGATTCAAATTACAAGAAAGGATTCAAATTACAGAAAGAATTTTCTGACACAAGTCTTCAGCATTGGAACAGGCTACCTTGAAAGGTGGTGGACTTTCATTCAACGGTGGTCCTTAAACAGAGGTTGGGTGGCCATCCGTGATTCTTGCATTGCATGGGGTTGGACTAGATGACCCTTGCGGGCCCTTCCAACTCTATTCCATTATTCTATACCTGGAAGAAATGGAACAACTTGAAAACGAGGCATGCAAATGTTGTTCACAAAATGCTATCAACGTTGCATTGTTAGGCTTTCCAGGCATTAGTTCCTCCATATGTGTAAGCCAATAATAGCTATGCCATCTCTGTACCTGCCATCAGTTTCAGTGAGAAATAATATGACAGCCACACTGTTCTTTCATCCCACGAGTGCCTTTTCCATAGAATCTATTGAATTTAATCAACTAGTTATAATGTAGTTCCAGTAGCATGCCATGTCTCACAAAACAAATTACTAGCTCACTATAATTAAAGAACTGTAGTTGGCTGGTGCAGCCTCAGACTCTCCTGCTCACTATATTGCTCCTCTGATGTTATTAAAAATCTAATCTAATCTATTTGCTAAAGCAGCCGATGAGCAACTGTGGCTCTTTCTACCTGCCTAGGCATACTTGTAGCCAATAAAATAATACAAGCAGTACAAAAAGAAATGAAAAAGGAAAAAAAATGAGATATTCTAGTCTGAGGAAACTTTAAATAGTAAAATAGAACAAAACATTGAAACAGTTCCTTTGATCGTGACACTGATGACTTGCTGTTACATATCCGGGAGAAGAAACAGAATATAGGAATTGATAGAATGCTTCAATATTAGAGGTGGTTCTAATGATCACATCACCAGGGGTGATGGGCTAAAAATTGCTGAAGGGGTCCTTGTATGAGTGTCGTAATAGGCACTCAAGGTCATGTACTTCTTTCTGTGAACTGGAAACCACAACTATCGTGGGGATAGCTCAGTTGGTTAGAGCATGGTGCTGACAATGCCAAGGTTGCAGGTTCAATCCCCCTAAGGGACAGGTGCATATTCTTGCAATGCAGGGGGAGGGTTTGAAGTAGATGATCCTCAGGATCCCGTCCAAATCTATGATTCTATAATGATTCTTGCCCCACCACATTCTTCTCAGGACCAGACCAGAAGCCAACAGAGAGGATGACCTCATTGTTAGCCTTAGCACACATTGTGTGTGTTGGGAGGGATTGTCACCATTTTTGCTGTCATCACCACCTTTCACTGTGTTGGTGGTAGCTACAATGCGGTTTCCTGCAGCCAAGCTGGTGCTACTATTTCCTGTCTCCCAAGAGACCTAAAGTGAAGCCACTGCCTTCACTCTGACCCAATTCATGAGGACATTAGCACCTCTGAGATTCTAATCATTGTGTGGATGTCCAGGCTAAATCTGACCTCAAAGTCAGAAACCAAGCCAATCCCTTTCCAGTACCACAAAGTGACCCACAGCTACCCATAAAATCTATTTCTTTCCCATCATGAGTGACAAAACCAGCTTAGGGATTTTGAACAGACAGAATAGCTAGCAATCCCTTCTGCACCCATTCCATTGTTTCCCTCTCAATGTTGCAGGCTCTGCAGGCTCTTTTCCTTGTAAATAATAATAATAATAAAGCATTGAGAAACTGAGGAAAGCAAAAATTCATATAGCTGCAGTTTATTCAGATTCCAAGGTAGCATAATCAACCTCTCTAAATATACTATTCAAGTAAAATCAACTGGGCATTACATTCTTCTTCAAAGATCCAATTAAAGATGGTGGGGTTATTCAATTCAGTTTACATTTATTATTGATTCAATTTACTGTATATCTGGCCCTTCCTCTCAAGGTGCCCAGGTTGGCCGACACAGCAATGGTAAGGCATTTAAAAATAGAAATAGAAAAACAGTTAAAAGCATTATCTCAACCAGTGATCTCTTGGTTGCCTGCCTAACTTCCACAAGGTCGGCCTACTTAATTTGCGAACCAAAGCCTAGCACTTTTCTGGATTTTGTAATGCAGTTGCCAAGAAAGATCTATGAATATGAGTATATTTGGACAAAGTGTGCATAAAATTGCATGTATTCATGAAAATGTTGAACTGCATTATTTTTAGGGAAATAGTTATGTTTTATTTTTAAAATGTGCACATTTGGCAAAAATTACATACAGAAATATTGGGATAAATGTGGAAATGTGGAGAACTGAAGATTGGGGAAATGAGAAACCGGGTGAGACCAAAATTGACAGATTCTCCCAACGCTAGATCCAATGCAGAGCAGGGGAGGAGGAAATAGACATAAACTGTAAAAAGGCACAATGACACCCTCAGGATTTTTAAGCATTTGCCTCTCCCTCTGTCTCCATCTCTTCCAAGTTTCTCACAGAACAAACAAACCCACCAAGTAGCCAGCAGCTACTTTGAAAATTCCCATAAATGAATTCATTAATGAAGTGACACTGATTCTACAGCCCTTTCCAAACTATTCCACAGAACTACTGTACCATAACTATCAAGCTGCAGAAATAAAGTTAAAAGGAAATGGAAACAGCACAACACACAGTAATAACCCAGGAGACAGTAATTAGGAAATCAAATGAGGTGGGAAAGACAGAGCCAGGCAAAAACCTTAAAATCAGTTAGCATACCAAGGGTTATCGAAGAAATATTAAATATTAATCAAGCATAGTGTATGAGAATGTGCATATATTAAAAGCTTGTTTTTAAAACTCTTCTCTTTTATACAAACACTATCCTTGATTAACGGTATCAGTCAGTCTCGTATCATTAAATCGGCTGGCTGAATAGAAAACCGTTTAGATACTGGCTTGCTCATAGATCTGCAATGGGATCTGGAAGGCAGCAAACAGAACTGCACATTTGTATCACTCGTAGGTAATATCCCACACATGCTGTGCATCACATAACTTGGATTGGCTTCTGGCACCTTAAAAGACTAGCAACTTTAATTATGGCTTAAGCTCCCTTCATTAGATGCATCTGATGAAATTTAGCCCACAAACGTTTATGCCATGATAACGTTTGTTAGACTTTAAGGGGCCGCAAGGCACATTGCTGTCTTGCTGCAGCAGACTAACATAGCTAACCTTCTGGGAATCACAACATGCATAAGTGTTTGCATTTGTGATGCTATTTGTGCAATGTTTGCTGCAAGAAACAATTTAATCAGGATTTCCACCCATTAAATAAACGGTAAAGAGCACCCCTAGGCATGTTTACCCATAAGTAAGTTCCATGTTACTCAATAAGGCATATTCCCAGTTGAGTATACCTATACACACTTACCTGAGAGTAAGTCCCATAAAATTCAGCAGGCATTACTTTAGAGTAGAGATGTATAGGAATTGCACTCAACCAATTAAATACATGACTTAACAGAATTTGGGGAAAATAATGGTTTTAAAGAAAAGAGCATTCTTTCTTTGTTTTTAGATGATGCAGGCAGGAGAAGAGATATTCTTTCCTGAAAAGCATGCAGGCCATCACCTGCGGTTTTTATAAGTTTCTTACACAATGAAACTATTACTATATGAACGCATATACCAATGAAATGTTAAGATAAAATAGTGGGTATGAAGAGTGTTGAGGTGGTGCCACTTTTTGATCTTACAAAGACCAATGGTAGAAATATTGATTGTCCCATTTCCCCATATTTTGCTACTTTTCACATCATAAGGATGGCGGTTTTGAATTCTGTATTCTCTTTTGGGGATCCCCCCCCTTTTATTTATTCAAGAAAGATGTTTATATACGCCAATAACACACAAGAACCAAAAAAAAACAAAAAAAAAACTCAAAACAACAAAACTGAATGAAAACTAATATTAAGCAAACACACACCAAGTACAAATCTGACTTGTTTCATTCACACTCCCTGTAAAAATGAATTTATGAATGTTGGTGTTGGAGAGGGGGTAGTAACATTTTTAAAAGATTTGCTTTGTTTATAAATATAAGGATATTGTCTTTGAGGTCGTTCGTGGGGAAATGTTTAGGCATGGGAAAGTATCATTTTTGAAAAATAGTACTGAAAAGAAGAAAATTGGGTTGGGGGAACACTGCATTTGCTCAAAAGCAAACTAATTAATGCTGTCTGATTATTTAAATAAGAAGAAATGGGAAACTCACGGTACTGAACTAAAGCTGCAGACATGCTGGAGTGCTTCAGTCCATAGCAGGATGCTGTTACTACATATAGTCAATAAAACTGAAGTCAAGTCAACAATGCAACAATATGGCTATTAGGAAAACCAGAGCGTGTGCACATTACACAACAATTACAAGGCTGTGCATTGATCTGTATATTAATCAGATTTATAACAATGGGCTATTTTGTTCTCCCTCAAGCCTACAATAATAATAATAATAACTACTAGGTTATGAATTGCAACACGACTTAAAATTCCTTGTTGATCACAGCTGAGTAACTGGGTAATCAGGTGTAAAAAAGTTAGGATGAAAGGAAATTAATCAAATTCAACACAATAATTACTACACAGCTCTTCTCCCTTAAATAAATTTAGTGGACTAAAATGATAGGAGAAAGGGAAGCGGTTTACTTATTTATTTTTAAAGGTGGCCCTATAAGCCAATGTCCTGTTGCTTCCAGGTCGATGCAGCTTCCTTATCCTGGACAAGTAAATACCATCCATGCAGCTAGAACTTTCAATGAAATGTGATCAGTTATGTTGTTGTTGTGTAGTCGTTTAGTCGTGTCCGACTCTTCGTGACCCCATGGACCAGAGCACGCCAGGCACTCCTGTCTTCCACTACCTCCCACAGTTTGGTCAAACTCATGCTGGTAGCTTCGAGAACACTGTCCAACCATCTCGTCCTCTGTTGTCCCCTTATCCTAGTGCCCTCCATCTTTCCCAACATCAGGGTCTTTTTCAGGGAGTCTTCTCTTCTCATATGGTGGCCAAAGTATTGGAGCCTCAGCTTCATGATCTGTCCTTCCCGTGAGCACTCAGGGCTGATTTCCTTCAGAACGGATAGGTTTGATCTTCTTGCAGTCC